CCAGGTTTTGCTAACTTTGAATGAGTTTCAGGCTGTGGCAGTGGCTGGCGTCTCCCCTCGCGAGACTGCAAACCTGAGTTGCAGGGACGGGTTCCTTCCCTTTGGGAAATGAGTGCTCGGCTGGTTCGCGCGGGGTACGCGGGGCATTTTCGGAGCCTCCGCGCGTCTTGCGGGCTCTTGCAAATCTGCCCTTGTTGCCTGCTTTTTCCAGCGCCCCAGGCCGTTCTGCCCCGCGAGGGAAACGGAGCCGTTGACCATGGTTGCAACTGGCAGTTTGAGCAGTAAGAACCCGGGCAGCATTTCAGAGTTGCTGGACCATGGCTTCCACCCGGGGAGCCTGCTGAACGGTGAGTTTCCCCGCGGCCCGTTTCTCTCCCCTCCACAGATGCGGTCGGATTGGCGGGTGTGCGGCGTGGCCTCTTTCCTCATTGGAGGTGTCACACAATCCATCCGAGGAAACTGCCTTCCAAACTTCCTAGCATCTTCTTTCTGGCCATGATAGTGAAAAACAAAAGTAGCATAAAATAAAATACTGAGGGCTGTTTTAGGTCTGGTCTGCTGCTAATAGGCTTTTGGGGATGAAAAATTACCTAGGTTCCTTACCCTACTTGGTTATGACGTTTTGGTGAATGTCAAGTGTACAGTTATGTGTGTTTTAATAAATGTAACCACCCTGTAATCACTACCATGACCCTCTCCCCCTAAATTCCCATGTGCCTTTTTGCCATCAATTCCCCACTCTCCTTCTCCCCCTTTACTTTTGTCTCTAGGGTTTCATGGAAATGGGATCATATAATATGCACTCTTTTGTAGCTGGTTTCTTTCCTGTAGCTTAATTATTTTGAGATCCTTCCATGGTGCTGCTTATGTCAATGTTTTCCTTTTTATTGCTGCGTAGTATTCTATTTGGGGAAATATCCATTATTCCATTTTTAATGCCAGAAGGAAATTTTAACACAGCAGTGATATTGGTCATACTGTTATTAGCAATTTTAAACAGCAGTTTCTAAGTTAACACATTGCCCTGCCACTGAGGAGCTGTGTGGGCATAGACAAATCATTTAGAAGGCAAAGTGGTTGATGATCTAATTCTCTAAAATTCTCTATCTTCAGCATATGAAGCCTTATAATTTGGAATGCATTTGTTTTATTTAGTTATTTTTAAAAAAACAAAACACAGTGATCTAAGCAAGTACTAGATGTGGGGAGAGGAAACCACAGCAGCCATCGAGGGTGAAGTAGGCTTAGGGAAGAGAACTGACAGGACCTCTGCCTGCACACCCTGCTCTATTGACTGTGTGTATGGCATCTTGCCAAGTGGTAGGATTAATTTGGAAGGTAAGTGACCAAGTGCAGACCTATCTCTTCTCCTTTGCGCAAATCTAATTTTGTTTTCCTAGGACTATTTTGTTTTTCTTGGCCATGGAAAACTACCCAGCCAGTTATAAATATCCCAGTGAACCTCAAAGGTCTTCTTTGAGCAATTTTTAATCAAAGAGGTTGAAGCTAAAATTGGAATTTACAGGCCATTCCAGTAAAGACTTAAAGAAAGAAACAGATTTAATAGATATTTAATATAGCTCCTCAGATTCATCCTAAGTTCATCACTTAAGAACAATAGCAAAAATTTGGTATTTTAAAGCAATAAACTCATATTCTCAGAGTCAGAAGGTAACAGTTCCTTAGTCAAAAAAAAAAATGTATATAACCATTTTTATTCCAGAAGTAATTCACGTTCTCTGTAAAACAAATAGACAATATTCTTAAGCAAGTAAGGGGCAAAAAATGAAAGAAAAACACTAATAATCTATATAGCCATAAAGAGATTTTTTATCCATAGTCTTTAAGATTGTGTGTGTACACATAAATTTCAAGAAAAATGGTTGTATCTTATCCACCCTTTTTTTCAAAACCTTTATTTCATAAATGAGAGGTCAGATGACTTGCTCTTTTACCCCACTAGTTAATAGCAAAGTGAGATCAGGTGGCCCCAAAGAAATACTAGAAACAGGTAGATGTGGTAGAGACATGACCAATGTTGCTATCTAATTTCAAACTTCTATTTTCTACAGATTTTGACTACTGGGATTATGTTGTTCCTGAACCCAACCTCAATGAGGTGATATTTGAGGAGACAACTTGCCAGAGTTTGGTTAAAATGCTGGAGAACTGTCTGTCCAAATCAAAGCAAACGAAACTCGGTTGCTCAAAAGTCCTTGTCCCTGAGAAACTGACCCAGAGAATTGCTCAAGATGTCCTTCGCCTCTCCTCCACGGAGCCCTGCGGCCTACGAGGGTGTGTCATGCATGTGAACATGGAAGTGGAAAATGTATGTATAAAGCTGGATAGGATTGTGTGTGACTCTAGTGTGGTGCCCACTTTTGAGCTTACACTCGTGTTTAAGCAGGAGAACTGCTCATGGACCAGCCTCAAGGACTTTTTCTTTAGTCGAGGTCGCTTCTCATCCAGCCTCAGACGAACTCTGATCCTGAGCTCAGGATTTCGACTTGTTAAGAAAAAGCTTTACTCCTTGATTGGAACAACAGTCATTGAAGAATGCTAAAAGGGAAACATATAAAGGGTCCTTTTTATGATTGGATAATAAACTGCAGCTGCTCAGTTACAGTCATTGTAGTTTGCCCTGCCTGCTCTCAAACAAGAAACCCCAAATCAAGTTCATCTTCTGTATTTCATAGTCACAGCAACCCCAACTAAAGGGATTATTTTGTGGCTTTTGAGAAATGACCCCTTTGTCTGTATTATATCACTTTTTTTTTTTTTTTACAAAATGGAATGGAATGCAATAACGAAGGAAAAGGAGGAGTCCACTTTAGTTTTGTATTTGACTGCACAAAGTTTTCTGTGTAGTCTTGCTAATATACTATTAAACCAACTTTGTTTAGTTTGATTTTCATATGGCTTTTTTTCCGTAAGTTTCCAAAATGATCCTATCAATTACAGAATTTTACTGAATGATGCTTAGTCCATCAAAATTTCCAAAAGCCCACACCACCAATTTCTACTCTAGTTTAAAGGGTTCTTACACAAAAGGTTAGAATTAAGTGGGTGAGAGATTAAAACTTAACGCCATGCAAGAGTGAATGAGAAACATCACTGGGAGAACAGAACTGCTTCACTGTTTCTTGACATCCTCTCCACTCTCCTGTTTGTTTTTTGTTTGTTCTTGTTTTTTTAAAGATTTTTTATTGAGATGGAAAGAGAGAAGCATCATTGTGAGAGCAAAACATGGATTGGCTGCCTCCTGCATGCCCCTTACAGGGGATTGAGCTCACAGCCCTGGCAACCTTTCCAGGCATGGGATGACCACCAGCCAACTGAGCCACACCAGCCAGGGTTCCCTCTTCTGTTTTAAAGAGGTGGCAAAAGCTAGAGCTGCCACTTTAGTAACCACAGTATTGTTTTAAATAACTTTATGGTACATATAATATAAGCTCAGTTTTTCTAGTTCTCAAGTGTCTTTAAACTAGAAAAGAATGGAAAATGTCAAACTTATTTTGCACGTAGTTGATTACAATATGTGAATGCATACGGGGATAGGACCTGAGTTCTCAGATCCCATCCCGTTCTCACTCACTTGGTAATCTAGCTGCTTTTTACTATTACTTATGCTTAATCTCAGATGAACCCTCTCACCAGTCAGTGTTATCTCATCCCTGGCCTCTCCTGGGAGCTCAAGTACCTCTCCTTGACCCATTCTTCAAAGGAGATAGCTGCAGACCACCACTGTTCATTAAGTTGGGTCTGTTGCGACAGACTAGAGAATGAAAACGGCCTAGTTAACCAGTTACCGCACCCAGCTTTCTTCAGCCTCGGGCACCTGTACCTAGAGAGCAATAAAGGCCTTATTTTTTTTCTTGTTCCTACAACCTAGATCATTATTCTTTTTTTATGCTGATGAGAGAATATTACCTCCACACTACAATGTTCATTTCCACAAGGCCTTCACATCCTTACTGTCGGTCACGAGTGAGGACTTGATTCAGATCTTCTGCACAAGCTACCAGAGCCACTTTACATGCCTGAGGGCGTAGGGACTGATAGATGTCGGGCTTCACCCTGGCGTAACTCCAAAGCAGGAATATCTTGTTACCGATCCTATGAGTGACCTAGACCCTCACTATTCACAAAGCCCTCGCTAGAACCGGGCCAGCTTAAGTCAACCTTGTTTTGCATATCTATTATTGGTTAGCGCTCTGAAGGTCCCTGGTTCTGTGGGTGAGGCTTCTCAGGCAGGATGTAGGGCTGTTGTCCCTTTTCCTCTAACAGCTGTCTTTGACTTGTCTTTTATGCTCACAAAGTGGTGACAATGGCTTATGGAGACTCTTAATTAATATTTCTGTTCAAGGAAATTAAAGCTTGTCTATTTTTGACAATAAAGCATCCTATATTTTTCATTTTTGTCCTCTGTCTTCTGAGTTTATTCAATGATCACCCTAAAATGTATTTGACAGTATTTGAGGGAAGATGACAAAACATTTATCTCTTTTAAGTGTTTTGCTTTATAATTTTTTAAATACAAAAATAAATATAGGAAGACAATAATTTGAGCACCTCTGGCAGCTGCCTTTAAAAAAAAACTCATTGTGTAAAGGCTTTTTCTATAGTTTTTCTAATGACCAAATACAAATATATCAAATTGTGAGATCAGTGTACATTTTTATTTTTATCAGAATATTCTCTTTGAACAACATATCTTTCTAATTTCACTATTATTCATCAAATAGAATTTTTAATTTTGTTTTAAGTATGACTTTATTTGATTTCAGAGAGAGGAAGGGAGAGGGAGAGAGAAAGAGAAACAATGAGAGAAGGTCATTGGTTGGCTGCCTCCTGCATGACCCCTGCTGGGGATGGAGCCCACAACCCAAGCATGTGCCTGACTGGAAATCAAACCGAAATCTCGTGGATCCTAGGTCGATGCTCAACCACTGAGCCACACTATCTGGACATTGCCCTTCTCTCTTAATGCTCATGCCTGACTCCTGGCTTGCAGGGCTCTCACACCCTGCATTCACCCACATGGCTCACAGCCACATGGATCCCACACAATGGACTAATGGATTACAACTAGCCTGAAGCTCTGCTTGACTCAGCTCCCCCATGAAACAAAAACTTTGGGCACTGACTTTGCTTCTGGCTCTGCTGGAGCCCCAGGTGCATCTTTTCCCAGACTGGTTTAAGGGAAATGGGACTTTAGAAACCGAGGTATATTATCATCACACAAATAAAAATCACTCATTCTCACATGCAAGTCTTAGAAAATTCTTTTTCTCAAGATATCATAAGAACCTGACCACCAGAGGCCAGTGGGGAAAGGATTCCCCATTTCCACCGGTGGACATCCCACTTCCACCAATAACAGAAATGGATTCAATCTCCTGAATCTTATTTCTCTAATGATCTATATCCTCATGGAGTCAGCTTCATATTGCACTATAGACAGTTTTCCCACTTGCAGAAGTAGAAGGACGTACAGTATAAAATTTTTAGGTCTATTACATTCAGTTTCCAGTGATCTATACTGGTTTAAACAAGTTATAAAAATAGCAAAAGAGCAAGATATATTGGTGGCACATGAGGAAAGGAAGGGTACATGGTAATGAGCTGGGAGGAGCATCATGCAGATACTCAAAATCCTAGACTCTGCCGTTGATTTGGGGTTCATAATACTCCAGTGGATCCTCTGTATCTAACACAGAAAAGAGGAGAGAGGCTGAAGGATCTCATAGGGAATTTAGCGGCCACGTAGAGGAGTGATGGACATGACTTCTGTCTACATCCCACATAAAACTCAGTCACACCACCCCATTCCATTTTAAGAGGGGCTGGGAAATGTGGTTGAAAAGTGTGCCCAGGAAGAAATGGGCCTGATGAACTGTTTCTGACACACAGGAAGAGGCAAGTTAGTCTATGAACTAATGGAGAACCCAGACACAGACCTACACATATATGGAAAGTTGATTTATGGTAGAGTTATATCTTTACATAAATGGGTGGTGTTTTCAATAATTGGTACTATAATAATCATTTACCTACACGGCAAAAAGAATGAAATTGGATGAATATACATCAAGGCATAAAAATCCATTCCAGGTTGATTAAAGAGTTAAATGTGAAAGAGGGTCTTTCAGAAGAGAATGTAACTTTCATTATTTTGATGTAAGGGAAAGATTTCTTAAATAAGATGCAAAAAGAAAGGAACTTCTGTTTATCACATAACACTATAAAGAGAATAAAAATACAAGTCATGACTGGAAAAAAGTATCTTCTACACTTACAACTCAAAAAGAGTTAATAACCAGATATGTTAAGAATTCCCTCAAAACAATTAGAAAAAGACAAACAACCCAAAAGAAAAAATATGAATAAAAGCTTTGAATAGGCACTCTCAGTAAAGGTAACTCATATGGCTGATAAACACAAGAAAAGATGCCCAATCTAACTAGTAATTAGGGAAATGCAAACTAAAAGCACAATAAGACACTAATGTATACACATCCACATTGGTCAAAAAAAAAGTTTAAAATCTGATCATTCAAATGTTGGTGAGGATATAGCAGGGGAAAAACTCACTGCAGCATGCCCCCATATATGTGAATTCAGTCTGGCATTCTTTTGTAAAGTTGAAAATAAGCATATTTTATGAGTCTGCAATCCTATTTTTAGTTATCAAATCTAAACCAATTTTCTTCAAATTTTTTGTTTGTTGTATATCTAAGAGAATTTTGTAAGATTACACCCTCTGCCTTATTTTTAAATTGCCATCTAAAAGTTTCTCCCAAATTATAAAAAGTTGCAAATAACGTAAAGTTCCAGAGTGTGATAAATACCAATCTTTTTTAATAAAATGTTTACATCACCTTGTTAAATGTTTTCAATTGACTGTAAATAGCATAGTAATTTAACACCAAAATTTATTTAGAAAACACTAAAATAGGGTCTTCCACAGAATAAATTTTCAGTGTTACTTCTTAAAGTCTAGGTTTATACTGAATTTTACCTTTACGTTATATATTTTAAGCTTGACAGTCTTCTTAATATTTCTTCTCTACAATAAAACCAAAATAATAAATTAAAATTAATTTTTTTTAATTTTCTATGATCATAAGGCTCTTAATTTTTTTATTGAGTTAACTTTACAAATAATAATAGTGCACAATGATCGCAATAACATTAAATATGTTTTCAAACATTCTGAAACTATTAAACACAAAAATAATATTATCCCTTAGTGAAATGACTCTTAAATTAGATCATTTATAGATAAATATTGCTTTTTTGCTAGAATTAGAGGATTAAGTATCTTTTCCTATTTTTTGTTTCTATAGATGTAAACTCAGAAAACATAGTCTTCATATCAGTGAGTGGATGGGAATCGAGAAGATTTGGTTACTACAGTATCAATTAGTAATCAATCTTTGAGCTACTTTCAAGGCATATGCCAAAATCACATAAATATCTACCACCAAAATTATTTTAAATAATAAATGCATGGATAATTAAATTTGGTTTTCTTTAAATATTGTTGAAACCAAGGATTAAAAACCACCTGATTGGCAAAATGACTTGTTACTTTGGTGTATTAGCCTGCTCAGGCTGCCTTAACAGTACCATAAACTGAGTGGCTTAAGCAACAGGAATTAATTTCCTCATAGTTCTAGTGTGCTAGAAGTGTGAGATCAAGATGTTGACAGGGTTGGTTTTGACGGGGAACTCAAGAAGTTAAAAATTTTTAGCTTTAGTTATATATTTAATAGGCTTGGTACTTAATGCATGTAGAAAGATATTGTCCCAGGACCTGAAATATATGACCAGACCTACCCTGATTCCAGGAGACCCAAAAGCAATTCAACCTTTGTGCCCCAGGAGGACTACAAGTGATCAAGATGGTATCTGAGCCATGTGCTCCAGGGCGAGAACGTCCCAGCAGATGAAGGGATGCTAGAAAAACCACCAGACTGCAGCTCTTTTATGATTAACCTCTTCCCTGAATTCCAAACCCCTTACCTACTTTTTCCTGAATTCCAAACCCTTTACCTACACTTTTTTTCCTTATAAAAAAGGCCAACTTGAGATGAGATGTAAGACGGTGTTTAGGGTACATAACCCGCCATCTCCTCAGATCGCCAGCCATCTGAATAAAGCATCCATAAAGATTCAATCCTTGTCTCTACTTAGTGGTTCTGGTAGTGACAGGTAGCATGGATGCCAACTTTTCCAGCTTTATATTCTTGTGAGACCTCTCTTCTTTGTCTTGTTGATGGCTGTCTTCTCCCTTGGTCTTCACATTGTCTTCCTTTGGTACTGTTTGTGCCCCAACCTCCTCTTCTTATAAGGACACCAGTCATATTGGATTAGGGCTCACCCTAATGACTTCATTTTAACTTTCATTATCTCTTTAAAGACCCTGTCTCCAAACACAATCACATGCTGAGATACTGAAGTTAAGGACTTAGACATAGGAAATTTCGGGTGACACAAACCAATTGAAACAGCCTAGGTGGGAGAGGATAAGAGTCTTTCTAGAGAAAAGACTATTTATATTAAATACAATATGATGATAATAATTTGTTCAAGAGTCACTACAAGGAAAAATGAACTGTCTTTAGTGGCTGGATATAAAGAAGAGAAAAAGGAGGGTATCAGTAACTTCTAGTAGTTAGGATTTTCTGTTGCTTAACGTGGACAGTAAAATCATCACCCAGAATAGGTAATGAGAACTTATAGAAGCTACCATAAGACTAACAGCTACAGATATTATATCTGGCATCATTTCTCTTTTAATATCTGCTTTAGGTGGAATTCCCTGGAAATAGTCTGAGATGGAGATTTTCAAGCAAAAGATTAATGCCCTTTTGATCAACACCTCTGGACAAGAGAAGGAAGTTGAACTGACTGAGCAAAGGAAATACCTAACAGTTGATACTTTCTCCTTGAAAGGCCTCACGTTATCCCTCAGGGAGCTTTCGAGTTAGACTGTCCTTCAGAGTTATTTCCCCTGAGACAAGAGGTTTGACTTTTATCCTTTCCTTCGTTGACCAGGCTTCAGAAATTAGCTGCCTGAGATAGGTGTGTGTGACTTTGGACAAGGCAGCACTCTTCAGCTGAAGGCAATTCCTGAGGTGTTGACTCAACTAAGAGCTGTCCGCCACCAACATTTCTAACAGCTTGGTGATGCCAGCCTCAGACATGAAGAAGGAATCTGAGTGACACGTTGCCGCATCCACCCCAATCCATCGCTTGTGACATTCAGATCCATTTGTCATATAATAAATTCTGGGTCCAGCTTTTCAAGATTCCATCTGGTCTCTTTTCCTAGAGAAACTGATAGAGGAAGGTTAATGGGACAAACTAAAGCCCTGTCACTGCAGGTGGTCTCAGTGCCACAACTG